AATATATACCATGTGAAATGGATGTTCCCCAGGGTCTCTGTCTAGTTAAATCATAACAGAACTCGATTAATGACAAACTGAATGTGGAATTCCTGCCGGTAAATCATTCACCTACAAATATAAAGTTTGTCAAAGTGGTACTTTTTGGTAGTAAGTAATCTTTTCTTAAAATGTCTGTCACATAAACTATCATATATATACTCTTTGAGTTTTAAAATACATTTTAAAAAAAAATAGCCACTCGCATTCAAGAGTCCAATATGTCGAAGGAATTATTGGTCCCCTTGTAGTTTATGATCGGGATGATCCTTATATTAATCATTATGATGATGAAATTGTTGTGCAGTTACATGACTGGTTTCACACCGACGCTAAAATTTTATTAGCTAAATTATTATCTCCTGAGAGTCGAGGGTTTGGTCCAATTCCTGATAGTGGATTGATTAATGGAAAAAATTCTTTTAATTGTTCGTCGGCTCCACCAGGTAGTCATTGTGTTAGTGATGCTCCATTGGAACAGTTCAAATTTGTTCAAGGAAAACGATACAGAATTAGAATTATTAATTCTGCGTAAGTTTCTTTTTTTATCATTGTAAAATTCCATAATTTTATCCATTTATTTATTTATTTATTTATATGCAAATAGTTCGCTTCCTACTTTTATTTTCTCGATCGATGGGCATGAATTGGAAGTAATTGAAGTTGAAGGGATGATGATTAAACCTTACAAACTTAATCGCCTTCCTATTAATGTTGCTCAACGTTATTCAGTCATTGTGAAGGCCGATAAGCCGGTGGATTCGTATTGGATGCGGGCCGAAATACAAACTCAATGTTTTCCTATGCAAAATCCCATCCTCGATCCTATGGTAAAAGCCATCATTACATATGAAGGAAGTTCAAAACAAATTCCAGTATCAACTGCATGGAATGATAAAGTTACTGATTGTGTAGATTTGGACTCTAATAAACTAGAACCTTACTATTCACAACACATTCCTGATGTTGATACTACAATAAATTTATTTGTTAATTTCCGTCGGGATGAAAAAAATATCACTATGGGATTTATAAACAATTCAA